TAAATACTCAATTAATCATAAAAATTAATAGAATAAGAAAATAAATCTAAAATATTATATTATGTAATTATTCATACAAATCTCAATTAATTTTAGTATGTGAAACCTTAATTAATTTTCATGTGTGGGTCCCATATGTAACCTTCTAATCATATATTATATAATTATAATTATGTCTCAATTAATATCAGAGTGTGGATCCCATCATAAATATTTAACCAAGTTTTGTAGAGTGATTTTATTATTGAGTAAAACTTATAATAATTTTACATATTTTTAGCACCTACACTACAATTTTATTTTAAATAAAACTTAATTTCTTATTCATCAATAACAAAAATTTCTTATTCTACACTACTAATTTATATAATATGGTTCCCCATTCTTATTCCACCTAATTTTGTTCACCTTTATTTTTCTTTTGGGTTGTTTATTGGTTTACAATAGATTCTAATTCTCAATCTATCAATAAATTGATTATGGGATGATCTTATTCTAAAATCATATTGCGTTCCCATCATATATAAAATGCAGTTGCTCCAAGAAAGGAAGAATTAACTGGTACTTTTGCTATAGTCAATATTGATACCAATATAAGTCTACTTTATACGCTTATTTAATTAAAAAAATAAATATTTAATTACTATTTATTTTATTTTAGGGGACACAATTCAAATTATTATCGAACGAGCACTAATGCCAAATTTTTAATCATTATTGCATGAGGGATATATATGTATATGCACTAACCAATTTTGGTTGCATTATTAAATCAATTTTCAACCATTGACTAGATCAATGAAAATAAGATAAGATTCAATACCGCAAGTCTTGGTAATTGATGAAAACATGATTAATATCAAATTGCACTATTTTGAATTCTTGGATTACTTGGATGCCACACCAAGTGGGGTAAGGATGTCTGATCTCACTGGTAAGACTTTAAGGATTTGTTTGACAATATTTTTTGATATTTTATGTTTTAATTTTTTTTTATTTTAAAAATATAGATAATATTAATTAAAATAAATATAAAATATATTTTTGAAATGTTAAAAGACTAAAAAAATCTACAACTGCAACTGTAGCTACAAGTTAACATTATCAAACTAACCCTAAATAATTGGCCTACGTTACACATTGCATAATATCCCTGATTAAGTACCCAAGGAGTTTTACCAAAAATATTAGGTACAGTATAATCAGGTTTTTCTTTTTTGTTGGATCTTACACTTTAATTGGTTTGTCACCGCAGATTTGATTGGTATTATAACTGGTGTCGAAAAACTTGGTAATATAAGATGGGGGGAGGGTACAAAATCAAAATTTTATATTCGAGATCTTGAGTAAGTTTAAAATTTAATTTAAATAAATATAATTTATTTGTTTTATGAGTTATTATTATTTATTTATAAACATAACTGGAAAAATCAAGCTACTACATCAATTGGATATAAAGAGACCAAGACTATTTATCAATTGAGAAAGAAAACAATGCTTCTTAAGAAGAACAACTGCAATTATTACAAGATAATCGAGCTTTTAACGTTGTTCCTTCATAACAAGAATTTGGATTAAGATAAGTATTATTTAATAATACTGTTTCAATATTTTTTTAGCTTTAAATTTAATATTGTTCTTTCCTTTCTTTCTTTGGATATCTTTTCAATAGTATTTTGAAGTCCGCACAGCCATTGTCCGGTACTCAACATCAAATTGTCATTACTCCAAAATCACTTGAGACAGCATT